CTCAAGAAAGAGATCTTGGAGTCATTGTGGATAGTTCTCTGAAAACATCCACTCAATGTGCAGTAGCAGTCCAAAAAGCTTTTGGATGTTAGGAACCATTAGGAAAGGGATAGATAAGAAGACAGTAAATATCATAATGCCACTGTCTCAATTCATGGTACACCCACACCTGGAATACTGCAAGCATTTCTGGTCACTCCATCTTAAAAAAAGATACATTAGAATTGGAAAAGGTACAGAGAAGGGCAACAAAATATTATTAAGGGTATGGAACAGCTTCCATATGAGGAGAGATTAAAAAGACGGGGACGATTCAGCTTAGACAAGAGATGACTAAGGGGGGATATGATAGAGGTCTATAAAATCATGAATGGTGTGGAGAAAGTGTTATTTATTCCTTCATATAACACCAAGAACCAGTGGTCTCCCAATGAAATTAATAGACAGAAGGTTCAAAACAAACAAAAGCAAGTACTACTTCACACAACACACAGTTGCCCTGTGGAACTTGTTGCCGGGGGTGTTGTGAAGGCCAAAACTATAACTAAATTAAAAAAAGAATTAGGTAAATCCATGGAGGATAGGTTCATCAGTGGCTATTAGCCAAGATGGTCAGAGATGCAACTCCATGCTCCAAGTGTTCCTAAGCCTCTGACTGCCAGATAGGACTGGATGACAGGGACCACATGTTCTGTTCATGTCCTTTGAAGCATCTGGCATTTGCCATTGTTAGAAGACAGGATACGGGGCTAGATGGACAATTGATCTGATCCAGTATTGTCACTCCTATATTCTCATATTAATTTACACCTGTTTTTTAAAGTTGGTATATTTTCTGTCTTTAACACAGAAAATTAAGCACTGGTATTTTAAAACTTGATGGCAGTTTCCCTTTACATCACACTCCACTAGAGGGCACTAGATTCTAACTCATTAAGTTACAAGCAGGCTGTTTTATTGGCACTTGAAAACTTCAGCTGAGGAGGCTTTCACTTTGACAGCAATCAGAATGCTTTAATGTTTGAGACGCAAAAAAACAAAAAACAAAAAAAAAGCTTACTGCAAATATCCGAACATGTTAACTGAATATTAGTAATGAAAGAAAATGCTTGCTGAGGCTACTATGTCTGTAATAATTACCTAGATTCTGTAATTTACTCTGCAGGTTTTATCTCCAACCCATACAATAGGTGGCACCAAAACATCATCATTGCTACAAACTGGCCTAAATAACATTGATTATTGTGATAACAGCTTCTGGTAGCTTTTGATTTTTTTTTAAAGCAGTAATTACTCAAGTACCGACTGCGAACTACATGTGCATTCATCATATATCCAGGTGAAAACAACTCCTTGCTGGTAAAACACCGCTCAATTAACCCAATGCCCCCTTTCCTGAGTATCTTAGAGCTCTGAGATCACCTACTTTGGGCACTGGGGTTTCTCATGAACTGTCTTTGATTTTTTCTCTGGGTCCTGCTGGTTCGGTAATCAGCATCTGCACAGATGCATTCTTTGTCTTTATTGCTGTATCCCTGGGAGTGTATGCTTCGCGTTCTCTTTCTGATGGTGAACATGTCGCTGGATCCCTTACACTTGTGAATTCGAAGCTTGCCAGAAGAATCCTCAATGCACTGCCACTTCTGTGAGAGGAAAAATAAAGATGATTTCCCAATGCAATTCCAAGCTCTGTCTATTTCGGATTCTTTTTGTAGCACATAACGGCCAATGCCTTTGAAGGCTAAACAATTCTATAAATGAAGATTTGAGGAGGAAAACATTGTAAGGCTTAAGTTCACTCACATTCTCTCGTCCTAGGCAAACATGAACTTGAATGAAATCACTGGAAATCTGCATAAAAAAATACAACCCAGCCAAAAAAGATATATAAATCAAGGGAATCTAGACTAAACACATCCATGAAAAGAGCAAGTAAAAAGCCTTAATTTACTGAGCCACAGAGTACAGCTGCCAGGGCTGTTTTCACCAGCCCTCCCTCCCCCCTTTTTTCTTTGAAAATACAAACTTTGTTTCTTTGTTCTGTGACTTGGAGTTTCTAACATGAATCAGGGAAAAAATGTAGATGAGGGAGAAAGACTGAGATCAGGTCAATTAGAGGGTTCCATGAAAAAGGGACAAATTCTGATTTGATTTATGTCAATGCATGAAACTATTAACTCACTCCCTTAACAGAGGCCAGTGTCACGACCCACATCCTTTAGTGTGTACACTCAAAATCCTGCAGCCACAGGACACAAACATTGCTGTCTCCACATGTTTTATGTGCAAGGACAGAGGAAAAAGCAAGTGTATTACACCCCCAGTCATGCTCTAATAGACCACACCATAGGTGCAGCCAGTATGCCAAACATGTGCAGAATAGGTCATATACAGCCTGTTGGAGAAGGGAGGGGAAGACCCTTGGGGTAGACAGAGTGTGAGCATGGACGTTCTCATCTGGATGCCTCTGCCTTGCTGTTTATACCAGCCTTGAGGGAGAAAGCAATTTTGTCTGGAAGGGAATTGCTGAGACAAGCTTTGCACATGTTGCGAGTATCATAGTGAAGAAGAAGGAATTAGAGAAAGCAGAATTCCTTCCAACTGGGCTGCACAATGTCTGTCTGGTTCTAGTGCCAACAGCCCCGAATCCAAGTGGAAGATTCCACCTGGATTTTTGCACAGGGTTCCACTGTTTTCTCATTTGGATATTAGAAAGCAGTTGGGCTTTTACTTCCTTTACACACCATATAAGTCTTAAAATGCCATAATCAAGAAAGATATTTAAAACTCTTAGCCCACTTTTTTCAGGAGACACACAACTACACTGCCACAGGTTGCCTTATTTTAATCATCTTACCATGGTAAATTTGTAATCATGTACCATTTGCTTAAAACCGTGGCCAAGGGACTGAGAGTTGCCCTGCTATGGACTGGCAGTGCTCTGGACACAGTCAATGGCAAAGTGAATTTATGGAAACAATCTATATCAATATAATCCCCTTTATGTCAATATAACTGAATCTACACTAGGGTCTTGCACTGATTTAACAATATCTGTTTCTAAACTGACAGAGTTAAATCAGCACAAACTGTGTGTAGGCAGGCCCTTCAGTCAATATGTTCACACGCTTTAGTACCTAACGTTAAATACCTAAATGCACAGTGAGGTACCTAAATAAAATCGGCCTGATTTTCAGAGCTGCTGAACATCTTCAGCATCTTAAAAACAAAAAAATGAAACAGACCACTTCAGTTAGGTTCTTTGATAGGCATTTGAGTGTTTAATTCAGTGTGTGAAAATTGTGGCCTTAATACATCTCTATCAGAAAGATGGGGACAATACTGTGAGGATTGATTAGCAGAATCTTATACAGAGCTTCGAACGTGTTATGATTACTACTAATACATACTCTTGAATCCTTGCATACTTAATAAACTGTATTAACATTAAAGTTATTTTCTGCTTGTTTTGTAATGCCTGAACTTCTCCGCCAACAGTGGTCCTCCATGTGTTTCTGAGAGTCCTGGGGATTCCCTCAGAATGATGTATTCTTACTGGGAACTATCCTTCTGGCAAAATGAGAGCTGGGTGCAGTTCCTCCAGGAATCCTTCAGCCCCACTCCCACAGCAGAGCCACACAAATTTCTTCCTTCCATCAAATAATGGCTGCTCTGCTCTTTTTCTGAGGTGTTCTCATGGTGGTTAAAGGGTGAAGGAAATAGCTTGAAAGTGAAACTTAAACACCTGACTAGTATCATATTGTGCCACTGCTGTGGTCAGGACACAACTAAAACAACTCCTGAAATGAACTTCATATATGTCCCAGAAAAACAATAGCCATATAGTTTAAAGCAATGTAAAAGAGAAAAAAGAAGTTAAGTCAAATATTCTTTAATACGCTATATATAACCATAGCCAACTTTGCTAATAAAAGCTCAATGCCTGAAGTCGCTTGCAGCTTAGTTTAATAACAGCAGCACATCTTTATTCACTTATGTTTTCAAATACTGATTATAAATCACAGCACTGGGACAGCTCACTCCAGCTTTATGTGTCATGAGATGAGCTAATGATCCTATGTCCAATAAGAAAATCATCTCTTCTATATATTTACCTTACTTTGACCGATCCAGTTACAGTAAGTTATATCTGAAAGAGAAAAAGTCTGTACATATTTCCTTGTCTTCTAAAACATTACAATTGTGTGGACACTTTCATAGAAATCCCTACTGAGAGGGGTTTACAAGAGCCATAATCATTTGCATTTACATCTCAAGGTTAACTTCTAAATGGTTCCTATGACAGTAGAAGAGTGTGGCCATCATTATAGATATTTACAGGATTGCACCAGAGGAGTTTTTGTATCTATTAGATATAAACACACATTAAAAAAACACAGCTCTATTTTTTAATACTATTTAAAAATGTAGTACTCTTTAAAAATTCTGAGTAATTATTTGTTTCTCCCTAAGATCAAATATAGCAGCAGCTGTAATTCTTACTTCCTCCAGTGGAGGTTGTTTCAATGCTCTAGTAAGTCTTTTCCACCTCTTAATAGGATCTAATTTTTTTTTAAACTGCCTATGCATGGATTTAATTGATAAATACTCTTGGATGAAATATGTATGAAATGTATTTCGTAGCTTCCCTTGAATGGTTTTGTTCATAAAAAGGTTATCTAAGTGTGAAATAGTTTAGAATTCTACAATGTAATTTTCTTACTATCAGTGATTCCAAATCCATGACAGAATAGTTATGAACTGACCATATGTTATAGTCTAGAATACTATAATGGTCTCTTCTGGTCTTAAGATCTATACAATGCATGAATGAGCAGAAAAAGAAAGCAATGATCAATGAATTGCCCTCAGTCCTCTGCCTTTCCCCCAACTGAACACCAAGATGTCCGTTTCCCTGGCTTCACAACCTCAAACTAGGTCTCTGGATCCCCAATCTCTCCATCAAGGTTACATCAAAGACAAAATGTTGGCACATGCACAAATGAAACATTCATTTGATAACCTTAAAGTTGTATGTGTTTTCTTATTTTTCCATGTTTATTTTCTTCTCTCTTTCTCATTCTTTTAATTTAATGCTTTTCTATTCCCCCTTACAGCTTTCTTTTCTCTTCCTCAACTACATACAGTTCTCTACTTTTTTCATTCTCTTCTCCCTTCATTTATTCCTCATCTCACCTACCTTCTCTGATCTCTGTCCTACTTTCACCCATCTTTACTCCTTTCATATTTTCCCCTCTTTCTAGTTTCCCCCCTGCCCTTCAACTTAACCACTGAAGTGAATGCAGAGGAGAAAGTGATATTCAGCACCATCCCACTATGGATGGAGTCCTGAGACTTTATGGAGTCTTTAAACACAGGACACATCTTCAGATACATCAATTTCAAGGGAGCAATGCCCATTTACATCAGCTATGAAACTGACCCATACTCTCTACATGGAGCTGAGATGCCTTGGTTTACAATCGTGTGTTGCTGGTGCCTCTGAAGAGCTATATCCTCCACATGGCTAGAAGATGCAGTGGCAACTTAGCGCTGAATTTTGCTAATAAGCAGCAGTCACTTGGCTCTGCTCAGGAGCTGAAATTCAGCTGCATGACAACAGATGCACATGCCTCAATGGGAACGCTGGTGCTGGCATTACAGTTAAAGAGTAATAAAAAAACTGAGCATTAAATCTTGTCCTCAGATGACTTCACTAGCAGTTATAAGTTTGCATTTGAGGGCAAAATTGGTCCCTGATTGGGTAAATTGAAAGGCATAGGGGACCAGATGCACTAACTAAAAAGCGGCTGTAAGTACATGATTCTTTAACTTTATATTAGTGCTGGCCTAGTTCCAATCTTAACTTACACCCTCTGTTAACAAGACAGACAACTGTGAATGAATTAACAACAGTGTTTGTTCCTGGGCTTTGAATTTCCAAATTCTTATTGGTCTGTACCACAACCTCAACATTAAGTTATATGTCTTTATTCAATATAATTCAGGCACAAAATATATATAGACACTCAGGCTTAGTCACTGTGGTTTACTGCACAATAAATACCCCACTTAAGAAGTATTTAAAATGAACATTGTTTACCTAATAGACCGTGACAGCTCTAAGGGAGTTGCTGCAGCCTATCACATAGGGAGGAAATTAGACAATTTGTGAAAGGTGTCTTAGCAGTAGGCATGCTCAGAGTTTTATGAAAGGCAATTACTGCACATTTGCACTAGACACTTTAATGTTAAATATATAGTCAAGTTTTATAACCAAGCTATAAACCCCTGAAAAACAGGCAACCGGAACTATAACACAGCTACAATGCTTTTACAGGTGCTGTCCAATTTCTGTAATGTTCCCTTTAATAAGCAACTTTGAATATCGCTTTCAGGCTGGAGGTATTCAAGTAAAGGGGGGGAAAGAGTGCATTTGAAAGCAACTTTAAGATCACACTCCCTTCATCTTCCTCTTATACATGGATGATTTAGTATTGATGATGATTAATATAAAATGATATGGGTAGAAATATTGTAGTGAACTGTAGCTGTGTATCCCTTTTCTCTGCTGGACAGACTCAGAAGTGGTTTTATCTCACAGGTGCTATAGTACTAATAGCTAAGGGAGTTTTTATTTTAG